GAACAGAGAGAATAAGGACCGAAAAAACAAACAGAAAAACTGTGAGACATAACAAGCAGAATTATATACATTAATTGGAGTCCCAGAAGAAGAAAGAAAGAGAATGGGACAGGAAAAAAAAATTTTTTTTAAAAATTTTTTTTTTAAGATTTTTATTGGGGAATTGGGGAAGGGGAACAGGCAAGTTGCTGTCGTTTTGTTCTTCAGTCTAGTTGTGGAGGACGTTGCTTCACTGGCCCAAGTTGGCACCATCTTTACGCTCTTCCCGGGCGAGGCAGATCAGTCGCCGGCTTCTGGACAGCCGCTCTGCGGCTGCTGGCCGCTCACGCTGGCTGCTGGCTACACACAGTAGCCCATGGCAACCCACTGCCACAGGGGCTGCAGCCTACGCCGTCGCCCGCGACTCACAGCAGCCCAGCTCCAGGTTGAGCTGTTGTTCAGCATCGTAGCTGTGGAGGGGGCAGTGTCACTGGCCCTCAATGTGGGATCCGAACCGGGGCCCTCTGGCATCCCAAGCCAGCTCTTAACCATCGCGCCACTCGGCCGGCCCTTAAAGATTTTTATTGGGGAACTGGGGGGATGGGAACAGCACTGGGAAATTGGGGGAAGGGGAACAGACAAGTTGCTGTCGTTTTGTTCTTCAGTCCAGCTGTGGAGGATGCCGCCCCACTGGCCCAAGTTGGCACCATCACCGTGCTCCTTCCGGGTGAGGCAGACCAGCCGCCGGCCTCTAAATGGGCGCTCACTGCGGCTGCTGGCCGCTTACGCTGGCTGCCGGCCACACACAGTAGCCCATGGCAACCCACTGCAGCAGGGGCTGCAGCCTACGCCGCCGCCGGCAACTCACCGCAGCCCAGCCCCAGGTCGAGCCACTGCTCAGCATCCCAGCTGCGGAGGGCAGCGTCACCGGCCCTAACATGTGGGATCCAAACCGGGGCCCCCTGGCGTCCCAAGCCAGCTCTCAACCATCGCACCACTCGGCCGGCCCGGGAAAAAAATTTTTTAATATTGATAAGAATGTTCCCAATTTAAGGAAAATCATTAACATAAAGAAGCTCAGCAAGCCCAAGCAGGATAAATACAAAGAAAAGTACTCTTGGGCACATAATAGGAAACCACAAAAACCAAGAGAAAATCTTGAAGGCAGCCATAGAATAGGTCACATTACATGCAGGAGGCAAGGATAAAATGAATATGAAGAACAGCTCACTTCTCATAGGCGACAGTGGAAATCAGGAGACAATGGAATATTTATATCTTTCAAAAGTATGGTGGTTACTCAAAAATTAAAAATTACAATATGATCCAGTAATTCCACTTCTGAGTATACACCTAAAAGAACTGAAAGCAGGGTCTCAAAGAGATATGTGTACACCATGTTCATAGCAACATCACAACAGATAAACATGGAAGCAACCCCAGGGTCCATTAGATATTCGAAAAGTGGAATGTACATACAATGGAAAAATTGTGACACATGCTACAACATAGATGAATCTTGAGGACACTATGATAAGTGAAAGAAACCAGCCACAAAAAGACTATAGGATTCCACTTATATGAGGGACCTAGAATAGCTAAAATCATAGTGACAGAAAGTGGAATGGTGATTACCAAGGGCTGGGGGGAGGGGAGAATGGGAGTTATTAAAAGGGACAGAGATTCAGTTTTACAAAATGAAGAGTTATGTAGATGAATGATGGTAATGGTTTCACAACATTAATGTATTTAATACCATTGAACTGTACACTTACAAATGGTTAAGATGGCAATTTTTATCTTGTGTATTTTACTACAATAAAAACATTGGGGGCCGGCCGAGTGGCTTAGTTGGGTAAGAGCTCGCTCAAGAGTTTGAGCTCTGAGCAACAGCGGTTCGATGCCCAGCCCGAGCTGAGCTGCCGCTGAGCTGCCAATAGGTAGCAGGATGGCTCAGCTTAAAAAAAAAAAAAATGGGCGGGGGGGGGGGGGTAGAAGGGGAAAGGATTACACAGTCTGGACTACCAGGAGGCAGGATCATGGGACCACCTTAAAGTCTGTCTGCCACTGTCATCATGAATTGTCCTTAAATGTGAGTAACCCCACCTTCACAAGGTATTCAAACTCTCACATTTACTAGACAGTTTTTAATTGATAACTTTTAATTCTATTTTCTCCTTAGGTATACAATATTCAAATTAATATCCTTATTTTAGAAATATAGAAATATCTAAGGGTTTTGTTTTCCAGGCTTTGGAATTGTCTTTTCTTTTCTCTATTAAGTTAAATGGATGACACTGGTAGACTGCTTATCTCCCACAATGCAGGCAGAGGATCGTTGGAACGGCAGTGTGGCACCTCTGGAGAGACAGGAACTGCTAACCTGGCCTCCCAAAGTGGGCTCTCCGTGCCACCTGCTGCAGCTTCACCACAAAGGCTACTCTTCCCTGGCCCTGAGTAAAGTGGAAGCACCCAGAGCCAGGAAGGGGTGTGCACAGGTGAGCCAAGAGGGAATGGGTGCATAGTGGGGGCAGCACAGACACCTGCTCCATCTATGCCCCGGTGGTAGCAGATGCCACAAAAACCAGGGTAAAAGGGTAGAAGTCTTTGTGGCATCAGGCCTGGACGCCTGACCAAAAGTCAGGTGGGATGGCAGCTATCGTGGCAGACACCTGCACTGACAGAGGACACCTAGATCTAGATGCCCCATCTCTGGGCCCAACCTAACCTGGGCAGACACACCACCACAAAGCTGATGCAACTTCTCCTGGTGGGATGTCAGCCATGCTCTGGAAGAGGGTCTTGCAGTGGGTACACTTGGCCAAGTGTTGGTTAAATTTGCTGAGTAGGATGGTTTAACTGCAATCAGTTAAGACCGTGCCTCTTGGTAGGCAGACTCCTTCGTCACACTCTTCCTGGGGCCCATTGGAGTGACCACAAGTATTTTTGGGACCCCATTGTGAAAAATAAAGCCTCAACTAAAATTTGGAGTAGGGAGGGCTTGTAGGGAGAACACTCCTGTCCTACCACTCATTGTCTGTATCTCCAACAGATGTTTTCTAGCTTACTACCCCAGCAGGAGAAAGGAAGGTTTTCTCCTTGCCTGGGAACAGCTCAGCCAGTGAGAGACCGGCACAAACCAGCCAATGAGAAGACACTACACTTCCAAGTCCCACTTTCTTCCAATGAACTCTTTGCAACAGCCCCTCCTAACTCCACCCTCTCCTCTATAAAAGACGGTCCCTCTCCTTTGGTCTCCAGACTTGCCTGAGGTTTTGCCATAGGTTGTACATCCTAAATTTTGATTCTTTGCTGTTCCCAAATAAGCCCATTTTTGCTGGTAAAATAACATTTGTTTAGGTCAATACCACTAAGGGGGACTTGAGATGGGATGCATTTAGTTGGGGTTTATGGGCTAGTTTCATGCAGTTCACAGTCTTGCTGGTCTGTCCTGGGGTGGGTATGTTTTCTATTGTTGCCAACTACCCACCTGAACAGCACCCAGCAACTGGAAATGTTCAGAAGTGAAGAAGAAACAAAGTTTAATAGTATGAACCAGAAGTGAGTCTGTACAATTCTTCCAGTCAGCCAACATCCAAAATTGTAAGCAGGACTTGGTTCTTCTCTCTGGATAAAATGAAGGTTGTCTCCTCTGACAAAATGTATCCCATTATGCAGCATATATTGGGTTGTCAGAAAAGTCATGACACATTTTTGCAACAAAAAACAGAAAAAAACACTTGATGTCTTTTCCGGCAACTCAATACAATTTAATTCACCACATGCCTTTTTCCCTCCTGGCTGGGGACTGTATTTATCAGGATTCCTGTATCTGTGCAGCATTCACCTATCGGAATGATACAGTGGGCACTTCTATGTCAAGCCCCAGGTATTACCCAAGCCAATGTCAGTACTAACAATCAGATACCAATTTGATCAAACACGCTAGAGAAATGTCTGAATCGTCTCTTCTTCCCATAAAACAATTCTGCAAAGTCATGATGTGGCATTCAAAGTGAACACAGCCAAAAATGCAAGCAGAAGCACTAAAGAGGTGTATTTGTTAATCCATACAAATGTTAGTTTTCTAAATTTTGTGATGTTTGTGATATTTGTCAGGTCAAATTTATAATTTGAGTTCTCATACAACATTATCGTAAAAGAGCTGTAAAATAGTACAGTACTATAAAATATTTACACTTTATATCAAATATTTGTTATACAAAAATATTACTAACTAATTTTGGTTTCATAATTTTACGATTTTTTTCTTAAAGAGAATTCTACCCCAAAATGTATATGCCCAACATTTCTGCATCACGTGAGCACAACTCCAGAAAAACAGGACAAATTGCGTGCAGGGTGGTAAAATAACGGAATGAAACAGAAGCTAAGTTCAACTACAGAAAAATTGATGAGGATACATTTCCCTTGCACCCAGCTTGTGAACGGATACCCGCACCCGCTCTGAGCACGTGGCCGGGCTGGGGTTGGTCCATCCCCATCCCCAAAGGTGCGACCCGGCAGCCGGGTGTGGGCCCATCGAGAGCCACGGGAGTTGCCAGTCCCACAGGTTTGCCGAGAAGCTGCGCAGATGCAGATCCACTGGGGTCGGGGCTCCGGGGCTCCAGCCCTCCCTCCCGTCATCACCTCCTCCCCTCACACCCCTCCTGTCCACCATTCGCGCAGCCCCTCTCCCTTCTACCCGCGCTCCTGGCCCCCGCCGCACCCCTTTTTCCCCCGTCTCCCTTTCCCTTACTGCGTCCCCTTCTCTTCCCGTGTTCCCTCTTCTCTTCCCAAGCCCTCGCACCCCTCCCTCAGCCCCAGTTCAGCGGAGCATCCCCCCTCCGTCTCTCGCCCGGGCCCCGCGGCCCCTCCGCGCGCCCTTACGTCCCCGTCTCACAACGCGCGCCGCTCCGGCGTTCACTCAGGCGAATCGGGTGCGGATTGGCCCTGACCCGCGGGAAGTGCCCGCCCCTCAGGCCACCGGCCAATGGGAGGCGGGGGCGGTGCCGCGGCCGGCGCCGGAAGCAGCCAAGCGACGAGGCGTCGTAGCGTCGCCGGGTTTGGAGCAGCTGCCGCGGAGCCGCCGGACTGACTGTTGGACCCGCCCGCCCCGCCATGGCCGAGAGCGACTGGGACACGGTGACGGTGCTGCGCAAGAAGGGCCCCACGGCCGCGCAGGCCAAGTCCAAGCAGGTGCGGGCTCCGCGCCGGCCCCTCGACCCAGGAGCGGCCGGGTGTACCTGGCGGGGTGACGCGGGGCCGGGGGCCGTGGTCCGAGGACTGGGGCAGGGGGCCGAGCGGGAGACCGGAGCAGGGAAGGGGCGGAGGACCGGGGTGGGGCCGGGGAGATGGCCGGTCTGGGACGGTCCGGGGCGGATGTGGGGGAGGGGGGCTGGGATGAAGACGGGCGAAAGGTCAGACCGGAGCGGGGGGTCTGGCGGCCGGGCGAGGACAAGGGGCTGGGCCCGGGCAGGGTGGTAGGGAGACTGGAGCGAGGAGGGCGGGTGGCAGTGGGCGGGGGGCTGTGCCGCGAGGAGGGCAGAAGGGTCGGGGTTTTCGTACGCTTGTACAGGCCTGGGGGCGAGCCTCGCGCAAGGTCCCCAGGCCTTAGACCTTTGGGTGTGGACTGGGACGAGGTCAGGTGGGAGGGCCTTGGGGCAAGGACAGGGGTGGGATGGGACGGGCAGGGTGTGGGGCTCCCCCAGAGTGCCTTCTCAGTCCAGAGCCGCCTGTGGAGCCCACCGAGGCACGCTGCAGGCTAGAGGGAGTTTCTGTCCCTAGGCTGAGGTGACCTAAAGACCCAGCAGGCAGGTGGACCTAGCTTCCCTGTCCTGTTCCTGCAAATGTCAACGAGCCCTGAGCGGTACTGGGGGCAGAAGGTTCCCAGACTGGCTAATCCAGGTTCAGATGTGAGTCCAGCGTAAGCGGCAGAGGGCGGGTTCAGTCACCACCCCTGCTGGGCTTTTACCTCGGGACCCTTAGCTGCACAGTGGCGGGTCTGGGCCAGGACGGGCTGCGGCCCTGGTGACCAGCATTCAGGGACCTGTACCGGGCTCATTGCATGGTCAAAACCAAGTCCACTGTCTTTTTCCAAAAGAAACCTAATAGCCACTAGCTAGGAGTCATGTGATCACGTCCGGAGAGAATCTTTGAACACATCACACTTAGCGCCCCACAGTCACTTCTCTGAAGTGTGAGAAACACCAAGAAATACTTTCCTGTTGGGCGGCTATAGGTCAAGGGGTGTCACTCTCACTAGCGGGGCTCTGTGCCATGTGCCCTCGCGTTTACTGGAGCCAGATGCCCTAAGGAATCTCCCCGCTTTTGCCGGAGAGTCTAGTAGAGAAGTCAGTCTGACTCAAGTGTGGACTTCTCAGGAGGCCGTTGGCGTGTCTTCTCAACAGCAAAGAAGTGAGCTATTCCTGTCTCCTTAGTAGCAGCTGATTGAGACTTGCCTGGATATTTGGTTGTCTAGGATTTTGCATAATGAACTTGGCTTTTTTTTTTTTTTTGGTTTAAACAACACATATTTATTTTCTCACGGATTTGGAGGCTGGAAGTTTCAGATCAAGGTGCCAGCAGAGTTGGTTTCTTTTGAGGCCTCCCTCCGTGGCTTACAGATGTCCATCCATCTTCTCCACCGTCTTCACGTGGTCTTCCCTCTGTCTAATGAGTTTGGCTTTTAAACCCAGCCCCGGTGTGAGCCCTTGAAGGAGCCTGGCTCACACACACACTGAGCTGGCTGCCGGGCTCAGGCAGCCCCGGGCGTCAGCGGTGCGCCGCCTGGCTCCCGGCAGTCCTAGGTGGTGTTTGCTGGACACTTGCCAAAGCTGATTTTGACCAAAAACCATGTTCTTATTTCCTAGGCCATCTTAGCAGCTCAGAGACGAGGAGAAGATGTGGAGACTTCCAAGAAATGTAGGTACTCAGGCTTCCACTCACAAATTGGGGCGTGCTGGTGGGGTTCACTTCTGCAGACGTGTGTTGGTGCCCGGGCTGGGGAATGCCTGGGACCTGAGCAGAATGGCGGTGGTGGCCATGGGTCGGGGGTTGTGCTACCCACTCCCGCCATGGGGAGACAGCTGTGTGGACTCCGTGCTCTTGGGCCTATGAACTTCCCACGTCACCTGGGTGCAGGGCGTCTGTCGGGCCTGGTTCCTATCCTGAAATGGCTTTCCTTGGGGTTTGTTGCAAAGCCTGTCTCTGCTCTTGCCTCCCGCTGGTCCAGGGGCTGCTGGCCAGAACAAACAGCATTCAATCACCAAGAACACTGCCAAGCTGGACCGGGAGACCGAGGAGCTGCACCATGACCGGGTGACCCTGGAGGTGGGCAAGGTCATCCAGCAGGGCCGGCAGAGCAAAGGGCTGACACAGAAGGACCTGGCAACGGTGAGCGAGCGGCCGCTGCTCCTGGGCTGTGGCCTGGGCTCTGCCTGCCTGCTGACTTGGGGGCTTCAGTCTGCCCTTGGCCCTCTGGGGAAGAAGCCACGAGATGCCAGGCGTAACCTTCTCTCACATGCGACTTGGCTCCAAATGTGTGCAGGCCCTAGAGCTGCTCTTCCCTAAGGCCGTTGGTCCCTCGCTGTCACGGAAGGCAGCGCCCCATATTGTCTCACCCATGTGTGTGCTAGTTCTGCAGCGTTTCCTTACTGAATGGGCATGTCCACAACCTATCTTCTCTTTAGAAAATCAACGAAAAGCCACAGGTCATCGCAGACTACGAGAGTGGACGGGCCATTCCTAATAACCAGGTCCTGGGCAAAATTGAGAGAGCCATCGGTGAGTGTCTTTCGGGCCTTGGCAGGGTCTCCGCTGCCACTGCCTGTCCAGTCACGAGGGCCGCCCTCAGGAGGGCTTGGTGAGGGTGGGGCACAGGAAGGCCAAGGCCACAGAGTTTTCCCTTCCCTTCACATGTCCCCCACTATCCCCTCCTCTGATCCTGGGGACAGAGGCCTCCCGAGTTCTCTCCCCGGCATTGGTCACATTCTGCTCCCACACATCCCTTTGTGGGTCAGCTGGAACCTGGGACGTGGAGCTCCCAGAGCACTGGTGCTGGGAAGGGACGCCTGCTCTCGTCCGTCGGAGAGCCCTGCCGGGAATGGAGCCGTGCCCGTCCTCCCTCCCTCCCCTCCTTCCTTTGGGGTCAAGTGGGCTTCACTGCTACCTCTGGGCCGATGGCTGGGGACGCTGTAGCGCTGCCCTGTCCTTCGAAGTTCCAGAGTAGGCGCTGCAGTGGTCAGTGGGCTGATGGCTCTTTCAGGCCTCAAGCTCCGGGGGAGAGACATTGGGAAGCCGATCGAGAAGGGGCCAAGGGCGAAATGAATACAGAGCCTCGAAATCGGTGCGTTCCGGCCGATCTCGTCTGGCTGGTTCCCTTTGACCACCAGCGCCAGTGCAGGCCTCCTCCATGGCCGAGCGGAAACCGGGTATCAGCCCTGCCCGGGAACCCCCTCTATCTGAACCTGCTGTCAAACAAAACCTTGCAAAGTGTTTGCTTCTCCAGATTGTTTTACCTCCCTACCCCCGAGCCTCAATTTGGGGCACAGAACGCTGCTGTCCTCTCCCAGGGTGTCAGCCTAGCTGTGGGGGTGGCTCCTGAGGGAGCAGAGTAGGAGGGTACGGGGTGGGATGGCCCAATCCGGTCCACAGGGGAAAAGGTTCCGCCTCTGGTCCGGCTGTTGGAGAAGCTAATAAACGTCCGCTGCCCTTCCTGCTGCTGTGTCCTCGTGTCCCATCCCACCCGTCTCGTCCTCAGCACCCCTCCCTCTAGCCCCCAGTGTGGGGAGGGCTAGTTTTCATAACAAACACCGTAGGGGGTGTCTGAGTTCGTGGGCATTGGCTGACCTCTTGGCGATGGACCCCACCCTCCCCTGGTGCTGAGTCCCAGCCACACCCTTCCCAGTAGAACCCAGTGGGCCAGGGTGGCAAGGTGGAGCGGGTGGGCGGGAGCATGTGGCTGTTCAGGGATGGCCGTCACCCTCTCCCCCAAGACAGTGTTGTCCAGTGGGGCCTTCTAGGCCACGCGAGGTCTTGTCCAAGTCCTGTGTGGGAGAGCGGAGCCTGGGACCCTCCCTGGGTTAGAAAGACCTGACTCCATTTCATTATACGAGGAAGGCATGTGGGTACAACAGGGACCGTGACACACCTCCGGGGAGCCACCTCCCTCAGACCCTATGAGGCCAGCAGGGCAGGAACCTTAGCTGGTGCTCAGGCATCATGGGGGCACCAAGTGACTTCTGCTTTGAGGTGTACCATTTCAGGGACTGGGTGAACTTTTAAGGTGGGACGGTGGACCCTTCCTGTGGGACAGGCACAGAAGGTCACGTCCCACCAGACCAGCTCCATGCCACCTGGGACGCAGTCCAGTGTTTGCGCCTCAGACTGTCACCTGTGCCTGTGAGTCTCCCCATTCCAAATCGAATCACCCGGCAGGGCGGGCCGGACACCTGGTCAGATTCCATCACGTGGGGTTGCCTGCCTGGCCTGGGGCAGTGGCTTCTCAACGTCCTACTGTGTCTGCCTCCTGGCGCCTCCAGCTCCTGGCCCTGTCTGGTGTGGCCTGTTTCCTGCCACTGAGACGTGGAAGGTGCCTTCAAGTATGGTCTTGGCAAGGCTGGGTTGGGGATCCCAGGAGCCAACTTCTGGCTGGCGGGCAGGGCAGGACACATAGACTTTGCCTGGCGAGCAGGGGCTGTTTTCACTGGTCGGGGTGTTTATTTTTGGGGTGAGGACTGTACCCAGGCACGTGGGTGGCAGTCTGAGCAGGGTGAGGGATGCGAGGCTTAGCCCATCCTGGGGGAGGGATGGGGCTGACAGGATGCGGGGAGCTTGTGTGAGGAGCCAGGGTCTTCTCTGGGTCATCTATGGGTCATTGGTGACTGATGCAGGCAGGGTGACTTGATCCTAGGAGGGAGGAGAGGAGCGTGGTGACCGCTGGGTGGTGGGAGTCCCACCGCTCCCAGTTCCCCAGGGCCACACCGAGTGTGGCTGTGGTGGCTCACCCCACCCAGGGCCCCTACCGCATTGAAGAGAATGTTGTCGAAGCCGGGGGCCGTGGCCACTGTCCTGCCTCGGAAGGGGCAGCCCCCCTTCTTCCGCAGCCAGAGCCGCTCCAAGAGTCCAAGCAGCCCCAGCAGCACTAGGAGGAGGAGGAGGCCGCCGACCGCGGCTGGCACTGAAGTGGCCACTGCCATGTCCCCTGTGGGCCATGGGGCATGTGAGCCTGAGAGTCAAGCCCTCCTTGTCAGCCCCACACCCGAGGCCAAGGACAACGCTTGGGGGTTGCCGGTCCCTGCAGCCCCCGTGGGGTGTCCCATTGTGCCAGTTCAGGCTGCAGGCGAAGGCTGGGAACCTGGCGGACAGGTGTCCAGGCCCCGGGCTGGACCCCGCTTCACTGTGAACTGACCACCTGTGCATGCTCCAGCAATAGGCTGGCATCCGCGTCTGGCCTGACCAGCACCTCCAGGGCCTAGACGTGCCCTGGGAGGGCACCAAGGGACCAGGGATGAGGGGTGGTCCAGTCCAGGAGGGGAGGGGACAGTGGGTGGAGGGAGGGGATGGTGGTGCCCCTGGCCTCTCGGGCAGGTACATGGGCCACGAGCTGCCCAGACGCAGAGCAGGACCGGTGACCTGGGCAGGGCTTACCCTGGCTGGGTGCAGACAGCTGGCAACGCTGCCCAGCCAGATACTCAATGTCGTCCAGGGCAATGGGCCCCAGGGCTGGCTGACCGCCCAGAGTGGCTTCAAACACGATCTGACCAGGAGGGAGGAGAAGCTGTGTGGACTCAAGAAGGAGGAAGACACCCCGCCTGAGGCCCCGGAGGCCTCCAAGCTCTACCGAGCAGCCCGGCCTCACCTGGAACTCTTCAGGGCTGGCCACCTCCACCTGGCCTTCCAGCCACTGGTGCCGCAGGTGCCCGCCCGCACCCCACACGGCCAGCTGGCCTCGGACACTGCTCAGGAGAACCCTCAGCTCGCCCTTGTCTGAGATCAGGGGCCGGGGAGTGGTCAGGTCCCTGACGCAGCGTGACGCAAGGCTGTCCCCGGGCCCCTGCCGCCCCCACTGCTCAGGCACCGCTGGCCCAGCCGACTCACAGAATTGCTCGGGAAAGCCCATCTGGTACCAGAAGCGGAGGCAGGAGGCCTCCGTGGCAGGCAGAGGCTGGCTGCGCAGCCAGGCGGCCGGGCCCCCTGGGCCCAGCACGCTGGTTTCAAAGAGAGCGAAGTGGCCTGGAAATGAGAGGGAGGGGCCAGCCCTGGGACTTGGAGGCCTCTGACCCTGGTGGGCTGGGCTGGTTGGCCTGGGATGGGGTGGGTGTGTGCCCTGGGTGTGTGTGGCTCTGGGGCCCCTTCCCCAGCTCAGACCCACCTGCGTCAGTGCCCAGAGTGTGGTCCACGGGGGGCTGGGGGTAGCGGGAGGGTGTTTCTCCACTGCTCCAGTCCCAGCTGTAACTGCCCAGGTCGGGCCAGGGCAGATGGCTCCAGCCACACAGGCCAGTCTCAAAGTCACAGGTAGCTGCAAGGGACCAGGGCAGTGAGCGGAGCTGCCCTTGCCCCTCCATCCCCTGGGGCAGCACCGCTGCTGGGGGCAGGGTTGGCACAGCTGGTGCCACCCATGAGCCAGGGCCAGGCCACAAGGCTCCCACCTGGCTGTGGGCAGGGTCCGTCCTGGAGGAGCAGGTCATCCAGCGCCATGTAGGAGGACTCCACCCCAGCGGCCACGGCCTCGAACACCACCTGGGCAGGTACAGGGCAAGGTGTGCTCACAAGTGGTCTGGACAGCCCCTGGGGGTGAGGAAGGACCCTCCCCCCAGGCACTCACCCTCCAGGCCCGCTGGGCCCACACATCCACGCTGCCCAGGCGCCAGGCAAGCCCTCCGTGGTCGCTGATGCTGAGCACCTGTCGCCTCTCGGCCTCCTCCACGTAGACCTGCAGGGTACCTGCCACACCAAGCAACCAGCCCAGGTCAGCAGCAGTGGAGGAACAACGCTGGCTCAGGGCTCTGCAGTGATGGGCTCCCAGGTGGCCTTGGCACAGGGGCCTGTGTGGATCCCATGGCCACTCCTCCTGGCAGCCCTCACCTGGGTTTCGGAGGCTCAGGTGGTACCAGAAGGTCAGGCAGGAGGGCTGGGTCAGGGGCCTGTACTCCTCCGAGGTCAGGGAGGCCACGTGGCCCCGTGGCAGGGTCTGTGGGCTCGTGTTCACCACCATATAGTGCCCTGAGAGGGGTGCCAGCTTCAGCCTGCCACCCTGCCACCCTGCCCCGCCCTCGATCCCGCCCCTCACCCGGGCCCCGCCCCTGCCTGAACCCTTGGCCTGGCCCTCCTCAGCTCTGTCCCAGGCCCACACCCTGAGGGGTCTCTGTGGTGTGGTCAGCGCTGGGGCCCCAGGCAGCATGACCAGTGGCATTGGTCTGGCACATCCAGAGGCCCCCGGTGGAGAAGCTGCACGCCAAGTCCTCGAAGGAGCAGCGCTTGGGGGCCCAACAGGGCCCCGGCCGCAAGGCCACGTCGTCCAGCGCCATGGTGCCGTGGTACCCATCCCGGAGGCCCTGGAACAGCAGCTGGGGGTGGACAGCGTCAGCCCTGGGGCCTTGCCCTGCCCCCGCACCTCCCAGGCACCAGCCCTCACTTGGTACTGGGCACCAGAGTCCATCTGGTGGTGGAGAGTGGCCCAGGCCTCATGCCAGCAGTTGCCGTGGGTGCCTGACTGCGACCACAGGTGCGTGTCTGCCTTCCCATCCTGTCTCATCACAAGGCGCAGTGTCCCTAGAGGGAGGGCAGAGTTTAGAGGGGACCAGACCCCCACTCCTGATAGCCTCCCACCCCCTCCTGGTCCCCCGAGGGGCAGAGACAGAACTCAAAGCCCCGTGGGCATCCTAGCCCTACCCAGCCCCGGGTCACTCACCGATCTGGGGCCCGTGGAGATGGTACCAGAAGGAGAGACATTCCTGAGAGGCTGCCGGCGTCTGGGGCTGGGTGAGCAGGTGGGCACCAGGGCCCCGGGCTGGGGGGTCTGTAGGATTCAGGAGCACAAAGTAGCCTGCGGGGGGTGGGGGCAGACACAGCTGAGCTACAGAGATGCCAGGCTCCAAGAGGGGCACATGCTGTGTAAGCATGCCCCCACCCCCCAGGTCTGGGCGCTGCCTCCTGAGCCTGGGTGCTCTCGCCCTACCTTTGCCTGTGGTGTGGTCATATCCAGGGCCACCGCTCTCCATCCGGTGCCAGTGAGCATCTGTAAGGTGGCCCGTGTGCCAGCCGCACGTGTCCCGCTCAAAATTACAGGAGACCTCTGGGGGTGGGGCAGTGGTGGGGTCAGCACCTCTCCTGAGTCCTCAGAGGGTAGGGGGACTTGCTTTCTGGAGTGGGTCTCCCAGGGGTCTGGGTAGGGACTGGGCAAGGGCGGGAAGGACCTGTGTCTCTCTTGGTGGCCACTGTGGTGCTGCAGTCCTTCATGATCACATTGTCCACCCCAGCGCCCTGCTGGCCGGGGTCATCCAAGGCCACCAGGCCGACAAACTCCAGCTTCATGGGGGGCATGAGGGAGGAGGGAGAGGTTGCTAAGTCGGGGCCTGCTTCATGCGACCCCACCCCCACCCCCGCAGGCTGTCCTTCTTACCCGGAAGGGCCAGCGGCGTGCCCCCAGAAGGACCGTGTCCACTTTCCAGCCCCTGCTGCTGCTCGGGGCCTGCCACACCAGCTCCCGGGTGCCGCCCTCCACCACAACCAGTGCCAGGAAGCCTGGCCGAGGGGGTCACCATGGGTGGGCCCACCCCACCCCACCCCACCCCCACTTCCACTCTCCCACAGGGTGCACCTCGGAGCTCTCGCCACCCCAGGGCTGGGCAGAGGGTCTAGAGGGACAGTGGTACCTTGGGGGTGACTCTGAAAATAGTAAGCCAAGTGGAGTTCACAGTGGGGGCCAGAGGGGCCCAGGGGGGGTGTGAGGACGCGGGCCTCCGCAGTCAGCTGCCCCCAGGCCCTCTGCAAGGACAGGAAGTGCCCTGGGGAACAGCAAGGCTGCTCAGAACCGATTCCTTCCAGGGATCCCCAGCTCAGAGACCCTCCCTAGCAAAGAGGCAGAGCAGGGGACCCCTCTGGGGGTGCAATTCACAGGCAGGCTGCAGGCTGCCCTGGGTGGGAAACTGGAGCCTCACCAGCAACAGCTCCACTGGCATCTGTGCCAGGGCCCCCACTGTCCTGGGCCAGGAGACGCCTCCACTGCAGCCGCCCCACGCTGGCATCCTCCCAGCCCCCGGCCATGGGGAGCTCGAAGTCCGTGGTGCCTGCAACGCAGCAGGCACTGGTCACTTTGGGCCCGCCGCCCCAGCAGTGGGGACGGTCTGGAGGGAGGGAGGACCCCGCTGGCTCTGGTCACCCCTCACCGCACTCCTGCTCGTCCTCGCCCCCCTCGCACTGCTGCTGGAAGTCACACAGCTGCTCCAGGGGGACACACAGGTCACCACAGGAGAGATGTCCTGGCTCACAGAAACCCTGGGGCTGCAGGCTGGATGGGTCAGGGTAGGGTGCTGGGGCCCAGAGCC